AGATACCAAGATTTGGGTGCTAGATGTGCTCATTGTTATCGGGAAGTTTCTATTCCCAGGCCTTCTCCCAGATATTCACTGGTCTTTACATATAAACACACACACTTACATTTATATCTATTTCATTATCTATACATCGAAAACCATAAATTCACACCAATTTCTCCAATTCCAATCAAGTTTCAAGTTCATTTTAGTTTTCTCCTTTCTATATTTGTAACTCCCTTCTCTGACAGTCAGAAACTTGGGTGACTTATTATCCACATATAAGTCACTTTTCATCAGTCTCTCTGTACTTCACAACCTCCTCATCCCCCTTGGGCTTCAACACCCTGCTCGGGGCTGCCCTATTCCACAGCAGCCCCTAACACCCTGATACCCCATGGGTCCTTACTCTGCTTGGGCTTTGACACCCTGTATGGGGCTGTCACCCTCCCACCCCTCTCCTCATTCAGTTGGGCTTTGACACACTGTCTATGCTGTTTGGGCTCTACCTTGTTCATCCCTATGTAATGGCTTTTGGACTTAATTCCTCAGGACAAGGAGGAGGAAGAAGGTAACTTGTTTTATAGTTCACAGGTCCCTCAATCTGAGGAACCATACCTGGACCTGATTCAGATGATGAGATTCTGGACCTAGAGCCTGAGCCTGAAGTCAATGGGATGAGCTTTTGGGAGATCTTGGGAGGAGATTAATGTATTTTACATGTGGGAGGAATCTAAATAATTTGTGGCCACTGGGCAAACTACGGGGACCAAAAAAGATGGCTGCCAATTCTTTACCCCTCCTCCCCCCAAGAGGTGGAGTCTATTTCTACTCCCCTTGAATCTGGACTGCCCTGTAAGTTGTTTTAACTAAAATGGCCACAGAAGTGATGCTTGAGGCTGGGCCTTAAGAGATCTGCATCTTCTTTGTTCTTGAAATGCTCCTTCTTGGGATGCACCCTGCAGATTGTGAGGGAACCCAAGCAGCCATGTGAAAGGTCTTTGTGGAGAGGCCCACTTGGAGCAGAACCAAGGCCCCTGACCCACGACCCATTCTGACCCAGCCCCCAGCCAGCACCAACTGCCAGCCATGTGAGTGAGGCCATTTTGGAACTTCCAACTGTGCCAGGGGCCCAGCTGACACTATGTGAGGCAGAACTGCCAGTCAACCTACACAATCGTGAGAAATTGTTAGTTATAAGACACTAAGTTTTCGGGGGTGGGGGGCGTTATGCAGAAATAGATAACAGAAATAACTGTCTACTATGTTCCAGGCACTATTCTATGCCCTTCTTATCTACTAGGGTGAAACAGAAATGTAAACTGATAGGTGCAGATAAGGGTGAGAGGGCAGAGGAAATGCCACGAACCAGTTGCAGGCAGCCTGCAGAGGCAGAGCGCTGGGTGGTTCTGGAAAGATCAGCATTGGATGGGCAAACTATTAAACCCGATCCCAGCTTCCGGCTGGGCAGCACCGCGACTTCCTTCTCCAGGTGTGTCCCCTGATGGGATTAATTTTTCACCTGACAAAGCTGAGAGTGGAAAGAGCTGGAGAAGGTTTCCTTGGGTCTGTCTCTCTGTCTCTCACACCAGTTCATGTATGGACAGCTGGACGACATTATCCCGCAGGTTTCTGACCTGGACCTTTCTGAAGCAAGAAACTGATTCTAGGTACCTCTGGAGGGGGGACCTCCGGATGAGGCTGGTGTTCAAGTTTCTATGGACTCTGAATGTTCCCAAGGGACAGACAGTTAGCAAGTGTTGCTCCTTTTCCTCGATTCCTGGACCCAGAAGAGGGTCCCAGCATAGGTCTGGGACCCCTAAGTCCCCTCAATCCTGTCTCCTGGCCATTATCTGGACATATGGAAGACACATCACCATTCTGCCCTCTCCTCATTTTTCAGATGAGGGACTATTCTGACCCATCCTCACTCATTGGCCAGCCATTTTCCTCTAGGCATAGGCTGTTGGGGTCAGCTTTACCCTTACCCACTCCCTGGTGAAAAGCTTTTGACTTTTGTGTTTTAAAATAGCTTAGCAATAGTCCTTCCCTTCTCCGCCTCCCGCATTATCAAGATGATCATAAGCATTCATTTAACAGATATTTTAACAAATATTTATTCAATGCCAACTCTGTGTCAGGTTCAGTTCTAGGAGCTGAGGATACAAGAGTGAACAAGAGAGAAAGTTCCTGCACTCATGGAGCTAACCTCCTAACGAGGGAGACGGACAACAATAAACAAATGTATAAACGTGTAATGTTGAATGGTGATAGCTGTTCTGAAAAAAATCAAGCAGGTTAAGCAGATATGGGTGGGGGAATATTCTGAGAAGGTAGTCTGAGAAGATCTCTCTCCTAAGGTGACATTTGAGAGATCTGAACAAAGTATGGGGGAAGAGTATTTCGGGTTAAGTGAATAGCAAGTACAAAGGCCTGAGGCAGGAAGAAAGAGGGCAAATTCAAGGAAGAGCAGTTAGGTTAGTGTGGCTAAAGCAGGTAGAGCATGGTAGAGAATGACAGACGCAGACGGGGAAGAGAGATAGGAACCAGACTAGACAGGGCATCTACAGATTTGGATTTTGTTCTGAATAAAATGGCATGATCTGATTTATGCTTACAGAGACCTCCCAAGATGCTGTTTGGAGAACAGACTGGGAGAGGGCATGGAAGAGGTGGAAGCGGGGTGATCAGTTAGGAGGCTACTGTACAACCCAGGGCAAGATGATGGTGGCTTGGTCCAGGATGGTGCAGCAGAGTTAGTGAGTCGTTAATGCTGATGGTTTGAAGCTAGGGCTGACAAGACTTGCTGAGGGATTGGAAATGGCATTTGAGAATAAGACTGGCACATCGAGGACACTTTTTAGGTTTTGGGCTTGGGGAACTGGTGAACACTGGTGCCATTCTCTGATGTAGGTAAGAACGGGAGTGGAGCATAGGGATGGGTTTTGGGGGTTGGATGTGTTGGGTTTGATAGGTGAATATGAGTCTGGAGGTCTAGGCTGGAGATAGAGATTCTGCAGTCATCAGCATATAGGTATTAGACATCACTCCTAGAGAGCCAGTATGGACAGAAAAGAGCACCACAGACTATGGCTTGGGGCCTTCAACAACTGGCAGAGAGGAGGAGAAGCAGAGGGAGACAGAAGAGTAGCCAGTGAAGGGAGGAAGATCAGAAAAGCCTGGTGTCCAGGAAGCCAAGTGAAGAAAGCAGATTCTGTATGATCACAACCAAGTGTCAACTCCTGAGCCTGCTTCCTTATCTGTGAAATGGAGACAGTAACAACCGTCTACTTCACAGACTTGTGAGGCTTGTGGCTGACTGGCATATAGTAAACTCCCCTTCTACAGTAGCTATTGTTATCATCCCCCCATAGCAGAGGCGGCTGCCAGAGCCCTCAGCTCCTCCATCCACATCAATGGCAGCACCTCGGTGAGTCCTCCCCAGGGGTGAGGTGTCCCTGCTCACTCAGGCACCAGGTGGGCCTGAGGAGTGACCTCTAGGTCAAATTTGAACCAAGCAACTTCAGCGCCTAAGCTTCTCACCCCCACAGCCTCCAGCCCTTACCTGCAAATCAACAAGGGGTAAACGTGGTAAATAAAGGTTTTGGAGTCGGAATTCTGTCTTCCCACCAGCTGTGGGGTCTTAGGCAAGCTTCTCAACCTTCCTGAGCCTTGATCTCTTGATCTGCAAGATCGGGACAATTCCTACTTCACAGGATTGTGTCCAAGCCAGTGTAGATGGTAAATAAAGCCGGCTGCTCTCCTGCATGCGGACGTGGGAGTTACTGAGGCTCCTGCCACTCCCCCGCCCCCCCCCACCGAGCATGAATCCTCGCGGGGCAGGATGCGCTAGAAGAGGCACCCACCCACACACCCTAAACCGAGCTGGACGGGTCTGAGGTCCCCAGGCTGGGCTATAGGAGAGAAGCGGAGCCTCATCTACTTTCTTTTCTGCAGGACACGGGGGGAGCCCCGTCTTTCGGCTGGGACCCCCATTAGCAGAGGGGCCTAGGGAGGCCAAGGGACCCGGCACCGAACGACCCAGAGAACCCTCCGCGACTGTCCCACCCCGCCGTGGGCCTCGAAGCCCATTTCCCGGGCAACCTTTCTCCGCCCCTCCCCCTGGCCCCCAGGCTGGAACGCCGCGGCGGCCCCTAACTCTCAGGACAACCCGCCTGCTCTCCTCCCTGCCCTCTGCTCCGCCGCCGCGCAGCAGGCCCAGCCCGCACCCCAGCCCTGAACAGCCCAGGAAGTGGCGGCGCCTCTCGACGGCGGCTCGGAGGGGAAGGGGGGCGCGGCTTGCCAGCGACCGGAGGCCCACCCGAAGGCCGGGAAGAGGGCGGTGCGCGGCCGAGCGGCAGAGCCCCAGTGGGAACCTCCCCTAGAGACGGCCCCACCCCTGCAGCCCCTTCCTGAGGCCCCGCCCCACGCCCCCG